CTCCCCCATACAGCCCCCCTGCTCTAACCCCAGCCCCCCAACCAGCCCCGGTGCTCACCTGGGCACAGGCCCCGGCCGCGCTGCTCCGCCCCGCCAGGCCCCGGCCGCACCGGGCCGCCCCCTGTAGTAACATCCCGGCCGCGGCGCCCTGACAACCCGCCTCGCCTCCGCATAAGCGGCAGCTTCCTCAGCCAATAGCCGCCTGGGTTCCGCTCAGCGCGAACCAATAGTTGCGGAGGGGGCGGTCCCTGGGGACGCGGACCAATGGGAGAAGGGGATTGGAGGGGGCGGGGCTCCGGGGGTCAGCCGGAAGTGGGGGCAGTCAGGCACGAGGAGGCGCACGTGGGCGCAGGCGGCTCCCAGGCCCGATGGGCAAACAGCCGCCGCCGGGTCCGTCGGGCCGCGGTGCTCGGGGGGAGCCGCGCAAGGGCAGGTCGGTGCCGCCCCGGGCTCGGTATCTGGGCTCTGCGGGGGAGGGGGGTCCCCCTTCGGGTCCCACGGGCTCTGCGGGGGCGAGCCGGGGGTGGCCCATCTGCTGCGCCTGTCACCGCGGCGCCGGGTCCCTTCCCTCGGCCTTAACGCGGCCCATCGCGCTGGTCTAGTGCGAGCTCCTGCCTAGCACAGGCCAGCGGACACCCCCCCCCCCCTCCAGTGATGCCTGCAGCCAGCCTCTGAAGTGTGCGACTGGCGCCGCCTTATCGCCCTGTGATGCCATCGCCCGTTCTGGGCCTTGCCTTGGGAATCTGCCGCCGGGCAGCCACTACACCACTGCCCCCCCCCCCCCACGTGTAGTGAACGTGGGACTCTTGTTTTACCGGCCGGTAAGGCAACACCCCAGTCCAGCCCCTGAGAAGAGGGGTGCAGTGTTGTGTAGCTGTCGGGCCCAGGATAGGAGCGAGACAAGGGAGGGGAAGGTAATATCTTTTGTTGGCCCAGCTTCTGTTGGTGAGAGAGAGACAGGCTGTCAAGCTTACACAGGCGTAAGAACGGCCATAGTGGGTCAGACCAAAGGTCCATTTAGCCCAGTGTCCTGTCTTCCGACAGTGGCCCGTGCCAGGTGCCCAGAGGGAATGAACAGAACAGGGAATCATCAAGTGATCCATCCCCTGTCGCCCATTCCCAGCTTCTGGCAAACAGAGGCTAGGGACACCCTCCCTGCCCATCCTGGCTAATAACCATTGATGGACCTATCTTCCATGAACTGGGCTGGTTCTTTTTTGAACTCTGTTATAGTCTTGGCCTCCACAACATCCTCTGGCAAGGAGTTCCACAGGTTGGCTGTGTGTTTTAAACCCAGTGCAGAGCTCTATAAGCTCAAAAGTTTGTCTCTTTCTTCAACAAAAGCTGGTCCACTAAAACATATTACCTCACCCGCCTTGTCTCAGCGAGAGAGGGACGGTCAGGTGGATACTGGGCCTGTCTCTCAGCTCAGACCCTGCCTCCCATTTACCTGGCTGTCTGTGCTGCAGCAGTGAGTTCTGCACCTTTCCCTGTCCCCGGCTTCTGACCTCGCTACGTCTCTTCCTTTTCAGCCAAGAGAAAAAGAAAACCAACTCAAAGCCCAAACATCTTGATGAGCAGGAAATCCCCTATCGGCTCCGGGAGCTCATGAAGAGCAGAGAGGAGATGAAAAACCCCAAGAGCAAGAAGAGAAGGAAAGCAGGTAAAGGCCAGCCTCCCCGGGACCTTATTAACTCACCTGAAAGATCCCACCACACACAGACTAGGCCTAGTTTACACCACTTACGTTGACTTCACTGAAAATGGGACATGGCCCCACCACAGAGGATCAGACCATAGGTCCCTCCCATTGAATATCCTGCTTCCAGTGGTGGCCAGTACCAGCAAGTAGCAGACACCCTGTAGGAGGCAGTTCTGGCATAATCTGCCACCAGGTACTGTTCCTCCTACCCCATGTCAATTGATAGTTGTCTCGTGCTCTGACACAGGAAGGTTTACAGCTCTTCTTAGGAACAAAAAAAAAATCTGAGTTCCAAATTCCCAGAGCCCACAGATCTTTCTTCTCCCTTCCTCTGGCAAATGCTGTTATGATCTTGGCTACAGTGAGCAAAAGGAAGCCTGCGGCCCCAGATCCCGCAGCCCAGGGCGATATTCCCGTGCCCAAGTTCAAGAGGCGGAAGCAAGAGTCGGTGTCGGCTTACATCCAGCGCATGGAGCAGGAGACCCAGCATGTCCTGTTTCTTACCAAAAACCAGCTGCAGCGCGAGCCTGAGACTGAGGAGCCGGCCCCGGCGAAGTCACAGAAGAAGAAGGAGTAGGTCTGGGGGGGAAGCTCATGCGGAGGCCAAGGGAATGCTCCGATGTTGCTGCGTGGGGCCCAGTCACGGCTCCTAGTGGCTGCAGCAGGGGCTTGCCTCAGCAGCAAATGCAGAATCAGCTCCTGCCTTCAGAAATCGCTGCTTATCCTGTTGGCACTGGAGTTGCATTACTGGGGGGAGGGGAGGAGACCAAGCCAGTCCCCAGAGGGAGCAATTAACTGACACCAGCCATGGCAGAGACGGGCCCTATCCTCCCCCTGGGGCCAGTACAGGAACTTTCCCTCTTGGGGGTAGAATCGCCCATCATCAGCCATCCAGCAGCTGGTCCTGAGCTCACGCAGGGCAGCCTGTGCAGACCCGCTCTGAGGAGGCTGCTGCACCTGCGTGATACCCAGAAGGCTGGGGTGGGGGGTGTACCCCTGGAGGTGAGGGAGTGGAGTTCAGCTCTTAAAGGGATAGTGTCAGGTTAAAGATCAGGGGCCCCCGGTGTGCAAGGTGCTGCACACACAAGTAGTAAGAGATGCCCCCTGCCCCGGAAGCTCGCAGTCGGAGTCAGGTTTAAATCCTGCAGATGGGACTGTTCTAATCAGAGCGTTAGCACCCTTCCTCCCACCCCCAGCACCCTTTTATTAACAAGCTCTCCACCCCCTCTAAATGACCCGGCTCGGCATCCTTAGATTTCAGAATAAACGACTGGAGAAAATGCGAAAGAAGCGAGAGGAGAAGAAAGCAGCGATGCTGGAGAAGACCTTGTTCCAAGGTAGGAGCGGGTACGGATCGGCAGTCCTGTGCTGGCTCCGGGCTGGGACACGGAGCCCTGGCTCTTCGCCATACCCAGGGGGAGGGGTGTAGAGGAGGTTTGCGTTACCTGAAATGTGGTCCCAAGTTCTCTTGCTTCCTTGGCTCCTCATTTTCCTGGCTCTGTGATAGGCTGCATACGCCCAGGGAGCTTCCTGGGAACACACTGTGGGGCCCAGACAATAGCTTGCTGATGGGGCAGTACTTCCTCCAGCCTGCCTCGCGAAATGCTGCCCGCAGATCCTTGTTAAGCTTGGGATTCTGCTTCACTCCCTGCGCTGTGCTGTTCTGCAGCGCTGTTCAAAGCGGCTCTCCCCAGAGGCGGCTGCATTTCAGTAGCAATCACTGTACATACTGGGTCTTTAAAGAGCTTTGGGGTGGTGGGAGCTGTTGGGTGTCTCTGCTGACTCGTGTTGACCTGAATTTGATGGGTTAGTTTTTATGGCTTGCCACTGATCGCATTCGACCAGAAGACTTATAGGTTTTTGTCCACTTTAGACTACAGAGTTTAAGAACTTAGAGTTCTGTATTGGGAGAGGACTCTCGGGGTGCTTGGCAAGAACGCATACACTGAGGACAACACCAATTGATAAAAATTTTATTGCCATTAACATAAAAATAAGGAATGCAATGAAACTTATAACTGCAAAACTGTAAAAGAATTTCAAAACTCCTGGTGGTAACATTTTTATTATAAGAACCTTAACCTAACATCCTCACACCCTTTCTCGAGAGCCCGGTAATAGGAGGCGAAGGACCAGCCTCACTTCTGGCAGGCCCGATTACACGATGGTGCTGGCTTCCCCGATGGCTAGGAACGTTGAGTAGTTCTGCTGCACAAGCGGAGCTGACAGCGTGATAGAAGAGAGATGAAAAGCACTCCAAGAAACCGGACCTTTAGGAGTTAAGAGCTTAGAATTTAGAGGAGTGAAAACTAACCTAACTTACTAAGAGCTCTTACAAGGTATTTTAGAGGATCCTGACCTATGTAATTCAGGCCCAACCTATTATACCCAAATCTTATTTCTGTACCCTAAGAAATGTATGGGGACCCTTCTCCTATTGGTTAGTGGATTATGACACTTACTTTCTAAATATATTAATAAGGATTATCTCACTCCAAAACTGCCAATCTAGGCTCTCTTGGTGGCCGCGAGTTGTGGTGTACCCTGTGGTTACCAACCGGTTGCAGAAGCCGGATAAACCTGTGATGTGATGTGGATAGTTCCTCCCTTTGGTTCCCCAAAGTTCAGGGACTATTCTTATCGGTGCCAAGGGTTGCCAGCTTTTATGCTGACCTATTCATAACTAAGTCTACTTTTTGCTGTAGAGCAGATCTTACAGGCCGAGAAGTTTTGCTGAAATGCAAGAAGCCTATTATTAGGAAACACATGTCTCAACGCACCCTAAATTCCAAGGAATTAATACTGATAAAATATAAGAATAAAATGGATTAATTTTAGAAAACCAAACATATTAATTAATACGGTTGGCTGGATTAGTAGGATAGAATAGCTGGCAAAATAATGCTATGGGCTACACTCACACCACTTCCAAGATCTCGAGCAACATTCGTCTCCTCCCCTGCCCCTTCCTTTCAGATCCAGTCCAGTTTGGCGAGGTCGCCATGCAGCCGCCAGCGCTTACCGTGAAGCCCAGAAAGGGGGCAATCAAAGAGAAGGTAAGCTGTTGCTCCCATCTCATTTCAGCCCTGGGCTTGTCACCCAGCCCTGCCAATGCTGCTCAATCTGACCCACACACACCCCCCTCCAATCTCAGCCTGGGTCTCTCTTGAGCAGAATTTACAAGTTATGGGGTTGCCAAACTCTCTTGCCAGGGCCCTGGACTTGAAGCCAGCTCTCCAGAAGGACGAAAGCGGAGTGGCACCAACCTGCTGGCACCGTGGGGCCTCTTGACAGTAGAGACTTGGAAGCCCCTGGCATCAGTCGCTGCCCTTTGGCAGGTGCCTTCTCCCTGCGCCCCGCTCGGCGGTGGGCTCCGTTCCTGGCATTGACCCTCTGTCCCTTAACACGTGTCGAGTCTCAGCGGCTCTCTTTCCATTTCTGTAGGCTGGTCCGAGGCAGCTCCTGCTGACAGCTCTTCTGGCTCCCGGCCACGCGGCTCCTGCCCGCAAAGCTGCCCCCATGTCCCTCGCTCGCCAGCGCATCGTGGAGGAGGAGCGGGAGAGGGTCATCCAGGCCTACAGGAACCTAAAGAAACGCAGACAGCAGCAGGCGCCTGAGAGCTGCCTCGCGGGGGACAAGCAGGAGACGCCAGTCTGAGCCCTCGGGCAGCCAGTGCCGTCCTGGGGAGGAGACGGACATGGCTTTGGTCTCTCAGTACATGGGGGGATGCTGATGTGGTGAGAGGTGTCCTCAGGTGTTCCAGGGATCTGCTGTAGAGGGAGGAGCCCTCCCCAGTCAGTCTGACTGAGTCACCAGGACACAGGCCCACGAGGGCAGGATCTCACAGCCCCTCCCTCAGTGTGTGGAGCACAAGGCTCTTAGCCAAGCACCGACAGCAGCCAGCCCCTCACCTGGTGCAACATGCTGCATCAGGCCCCAGAACTCTGCTCTGCCCCCCTCCTGCCGGAGCAGAACCACCTGTGACGGGAGGGTGCAGGTCACTCCAGCCCCCGGACCCAGTCTTTGGGATCCGCTCCTTGTCGCTCGCAGGCCCAGCCCAGAGGCGACACCGTGTTAGCGGCAGGAGGCAGGCACGGCGCCATGGCTTGGGCTCTGTGCGGAAGGAAGGGTAAAGGGAGGTGCTGGAAACGCCCATTCGTGGCCATATATCCCTGCTGCTCTCCGAGTGCCGCCTGCCTTCTCGGCCGGGGGAGCTCACTGGGCCGGGTCCCAGAGGTGCCGAAGCCGCTGATATGAAACACTCGCGCTGAGCTGCCTGTTTGTGTCCCTGAGCACCTCACCCTCACCGGGCACACGCAGGGCAGGCCCCCGGGGTGGCTGCAGAGCCGGCAGGCTGCTCCTGCCAGCCGCAGCGTGGGGGTGTTTGCTCCTTCAGCCAAACTGAATAAACAGCAGGAAAACGAATGGAAATCTCCCCTGCATTTCTTCACCCCTTTGAACCCACCTTTCCTGCCCCGAATCCCCGAGCAGGGGTCTGCTTCCTTCCCTGCCCTGCAATAGCAACGACTCCCCGGCAGGTGGCAGTCTGCACCCAGCAGCATGCCCTGGCTAGCCAAGCCTCTGGCCCCCTCCCCTTGGCCTGCATTCCCCAACGTGGGCATGACTGCCGGCCTCTGGCACGGGGAGACTATCACATGGATACGGCGCCCATCGCTACAGCCGGGAGAGGCAGCTCCCGCTAGGTGCATGGCTTGTTCCATAGCCCGAGGCAGATTGACCGTGCGCTAAAGTCGCTGCTTGAAACTCAGGACTCCTGGGCTCTCTTTGCCGCCTTGCTGGGCAACTTGTGGGCTGTGTGTGCCCGTGCCTCAGTTTCCCCAATGTGCTATGGAGAAAACCAGGGTTTGAGATGGGATTCCCTTAGGCAGGGTGTGGTCTGACTGTCCCGGGGTGGTGCTAGACAGGGCAGCATGTCTTTGGCCTGCCCCCTGCAGGCCTGTCTGCGCAGCACAACGGGGGCCCCCATCCATACCCTCCCCCCTGCCCCAGGTCGCGCGGAGTTCCTGCCTCAGCTGCTCCTGAGCCCTCTGCCTGCCTCCGTGCTGGACGCTCCTCCCGCAGCTTCTGCCTGGCATGGAGGCTTCTCCTCTGTCCCTGCGCTGGGGTCCCCTTACCCAGCACCTCTGCTCCCACCGGAGAGGTGGGGAAGAGAACGGCTTTGGGGCATTTCCTCAGCAAGCCACTGTTTTGAGTAGGTCCTACACACACACGCAGTTCCCAGCCCTCACCTCCCTGGTCCCTGAGGGGGTTCCCCTCCAGTTTTAACAGCTTTTAGTTCCCCTGGGATCCTCCCTTTCTAACCATTGTGCCTCCCCCATCCCAGCTCCCTGGCACCACTTGCAGGAGCAGGGTGGTGAGGCTGAGCAGAGAACTCTGTCTGCATTCAGCAGGGCTGGGGCTCCCCCACCCCCCACACCATGGCGTTAGAGGGTGGATCCCGTTCTTGAGGCCAGGAGCTCTAGTGCCCCCGGGGGAGGCGAGTGGCAGCTTGTTTGGGGGCCAGAGGCTAAGCTGTTGGGTGTCCTGATGGTTGCTGGGCCAAACATCAGGCTACCTTGACTAGTCCCTGCTGAGGGCCCCCCCCACTCGTCCCCCAGACACACGCCACCAAGGAGAGCAGCCCCCGTTTGTTTGAACAGACACTCTGTGGCTTGTGCTGGGAGATGAGCCACGCTCCACTGGCTCCACGCGTCTCTCCAAGGGGTAATTATGGCTGGTGACGGTCAGGCTCTTTCCTGACGCGCTAATCACAGGCCTGGGCACTACCAGCCCCGCCCCACAGAGACAGATCAGCTCCAGGGGCTCAGCCCCTTGCCCCCACTCCCAGCCCAACTGCAGTGACCTTCCCTGGCCGGCGGGAGGCTCACGTTCTACCCTGGCACAGCCTGCAAAGGGTTGTGGTTGGAGCCTCTGCCAGCATAAGCCGGAGCCAGCCTGGGCCTGGAGACGGGGGGCAGGAAGGAATATTAATCCCTGCCCCATGGGGTGTTGGGTGTATGTATCGGGGCTCTGGATCTGCCTGCTCCATGCCCTATGTAACCAGCCTAGTGCCCCCAACCCACCTCCTGAGGTAGCATTGCCAAGTGAGGTAGCCCAGCAGCTGCCCCCCTTCCATCAACGTTCACTCTCTGCCCCACCCTGCCCTTCTCCAGACCACGGTTAATGGGCTTGAAACTGCCCCAGGTTCCCCTGAGCCCGGGCAGCGTGCTGCACCCCCGCCCAGCACACTGCCGGCTGCTCCAGCCCAGGGTGTAGCCAGCCGGAAGGAGCAGAACCTGGCTGCTGGGCGGATCTGTGGCTCCGGAGGTTGGCACGTCAGGCCGAGCGCAGAGGGCTCCTGGCACAGCAGCTGTTTGTGACGGAACCGGCTGGGGGAATCCAACCGGCCCTGCAGCCACCTGGGCCGGGGGAGGATTATGGCAGGGTGGGGTCGGCGAGCAGAGGGCGCTTGGCACCTCCCCGTATCAGGCCCACCGAGCCCCTGGGCCGGCCAGGCCTCCGCTACTTCCATAGCTCAGGCTGGCGAAGCCACCGGAGTGGGAAACGTTCCCCCCGCCCCTGCCTGTTTGTCTCGCTCTCTGGGCTGAGCTCCTGGGCCGTGCACTCAGCCCTGCCCTGCAGCCCAGCGGGGTGGGGCACCCGTCCCAAAGCAAGATGAAAATCTGGCAGCTGCCTCCTGTGTCATCATGGGGACTTGGCAAAGGTGCTGGGCCAGCGCGCCCGGGAGCCCAGTGAGAGGCACCACACGCCTGGCTCCAGCTGATCCAGCCTCTGTTCTGTCTCTCTCTTTGCTGAGGACTGGGACACCCCCCAGGTGACTGCCCCCTGCCCTATTGCAGTGGCCAGCTGTGGCAGAGCAGCTCTCCAGCCCTCCCCCCACCCATCCACCCAGCCCCATGGGGATCTCCAGTGACTCAGCTGGGTCACCATCTTCAGTCCCCCACTTCCGCGATCACCACTGTCCAAACTAAGCGTCCCAACCTGTCTTTACCACAAACAAACCCCTCCTTTCCACCCTCTCTGGGCTATTCCTCAGTCTGCCTTCAGGGCTTGCAGCCCCCCTGCAAGAGTCCCCCCCGCACCCCCAAACTCTGGGCTTCAGCCCCAGCCCCTGTAGTCCAGAGCTAGGTCTTCTGCTTTCCCCTGGGCCACTTCCTACTAAGGCTTTTACATTCTCCGCAGTCTCTTCCCTGCTTAAGCCGGGTCTCTCCCAGGCCTCCCTGCGCTGAGCAGCCTACCTGGTTCTCCCCCACAGCTGGGCTTCATCCCCACTCAAGCCAGGCTCTCCCTCTCCGCTGCAGCCACCTTCTGCCCTTTATAAGGCAGTGCCCAGGCCTCTCAGGTGGGGCTTGTTCTGTAATCAGGTTGGCATAGGCCCCGGCTCTGTTACTACCGGGGTTGGAAGCTCTTTGGGGCAGGGACTCGCTCTTGGCTGCAGGAGTTCCAGTGCCCAGCTCCATGGAGGGCCCCGACCCCCAGCTGGATCCACAGGACGCCTGCGATACACCTGACGTTTCCCACACCAGTGAAGCGCTCGCCCTACGTGATGGCTGGTTTCCCCACTTTTCCAGGGTCATTTGACTGATCGGGACCAGCCAGCTCTGTTCTTGTTGGGCCTTTGGGGAGGTTTCACCAGGGTTCATTGAAAGAGTTTTTTCCCGTGTCTAATGCAGCTCTAGAATTTGGCTGTTGTGTGACACACCCTGTCCAGACACAGGTCAGTTGTGTCAGCTGGGAACAGTTCAATTAACGCCTGGTGCTTGTGCTCTTGGAAGTGAAGGCTTGGTGCATCCCCCCTTTGGCTCCTGGGCTCCCTGCACGCACCACTCATTCCCCTGAGTTTTTACCTGCATGCGTTGGCCTAGCTCCCTGCTCGGTGCATTTCCATGCACGGTTTTATGTAGAGACGTTGATACATCTGCAAACCTTACTGCTGCACTGCAGGAGGCCCGGAGCGAGCAAGGCCCCTTGAGCAAATAGAGTCCCTGGGGCTTCAGCACCCTGGCTCTGCCGTGCCGGGGGGGTGGGGGGGAGGAAGGGCCTGCCTAGCTCGGGCAGCAGCTCCATGCATAGCAGGGCTTGCTCTGTGCTGGGCAGGTGTCTGTCCTGCTTTCCTCTGCAAACCCTGGGTGAAGTGGAAGGGCCCCTCCCCCAGCCCCGGCCGCTGCAGGTGTTTGTACCAGGTGCAAACAAAGAGACGGATGCCGGGCTGAGTTCACTGGGAACAATTACAGGGAGCCCCAGGGGAGATGGAACTCGCTGCAGCTCTTGCTGCTCCTCCAAAGGCAGTTAGTGCAGAGGCAGAGCCAGCCAGCCTGGCGGGGAGACTGCTGGGAAAGGGCCCCCCTGAGAGCAGCCTGCGCCCTCTTGGCAGGCTGGCGTGCGGCTGCCTTGCTCATGGGGCTCACGCCAGGTTTCCTGCTGATGCTCTGGCAAAAGAGCTCGGGGCTGGGGGGAATTGCATGGCACGGTGCAGTTGTGTTCCGGGGAGGTACCCCGAGATCATCCACCAGGGGTCGCCAATGTGAATGAAAAGCTGTGGACCCCAATAGCAGGTGCCCATGGGGTACGCTCTGCCAGCCACCTTGGGACCGACCAATTCACTCGCCCGCTGACCCACTTTCTCCTCCAGCAGCAACCAAGGATATAAGGAAAGACTCCAAAGCGTGGGCACTGGCCCAGAGCCAGGCAGTGGGGGCACTGAGCCCCCGCCCCTGTTGTGGTGGATTCCCCAGCAGGGGTCCCTCTTGGCAAGGGGAGTCGCTAGAAGCCAATTTGCTTCACCTGCTGCACCTGGACAAAGGCAGGGCTGTTCAGCCGACCAGCGGAGTGTCACTTTGGCTTTGCTCGCGGTGTTTGCACAAAAGATTTCCTGTTGGTGTTGATCTGTTCCGCAGCCCCTGCCTGCCTGGGTCTGGCCGGCTCTGACGACAGCATCGCGTCGCTCCATTCTTGGGTTTTCTTTCAAACGGAAATTCAATGCTGGTGGAAGGTGCTGGGCGGACAGGCCTGCCGACTGGCGTCCTCTGTCGCCCAACAGATACAGGCTGGATAAAGCGGGTTGTGCCCGGCGCCGCAGGGCCCAGCTGCAGGGGCGAGTGGAATCCACATAGCTGCATTGTCCTTTGCATTCAAGCAACAAGAGCTTACATTCAAGAGCTGTGATTTTTACCCAAGCACTGCAGAACACCAAAAGCCGAGTCTGCTTGGAGCCACAGCCTTCCACCATGGGGGTGACCTTTGGTCTCTGCAGCCGCGCTCTGCAATGGCCTTACTGGACCCTGACATCTCAGCTGTGCCAACGGGGTGCCAGCTAGTGCCCAGGGTTCCCTAGGACGGGCCCTTGGAGCTGGACTGAGAACCACCAGTGGCTTCAGGACCTTAGTTACGTTCCAGAAGAGCAG